CCCGGCTATGTGACACATCAAAGAGAATTCTCTAATGTGAAAGAGAGAATAACGGCTGAGTATCTCATAATGCTCTCTGATGTGATTACCACTTTTGCAGATTTCCTACAGAATATTCAAAGCATTTCAAATATGTAGAAAGAAATCCCTTTTCTCTAAGTCAGGAATATGATCCAAATGGAAAGGGAAACATTAAGGACAGTAAGAGAGGCATCAAGACATCTCTGACCTACATGAACTTGTATGAGCAAGAGTTGCCATCATTTCACAACAGATCATTAAAGCAGAGGTCCAACAAATTCATCTGGGTATCAATAGTACAAGTTGTGTCCCCTACATTTTCTGTAGTACCTTCTTCTGTTATGTGTGTTTACTAGTATTTAAACACATAGAAACATGACATTAGTTCTCATTTTAGATAAAAACAAAATAAATTATCCACACATACAAAACAAACCAGGCAGATATGGTAGTTACAGAACAGAAGAAGTCCTCAAATGTATCTTTTTAAATATTACATTATTCCAGGTTTCTGTTCCAGAAAAAGAAACTCGAAAGCATTTGAGTTTACTCCAGCACAAATATAATATCTATCAGTATTTTTGAATTACTGAAACAAGTTACTAAAGAAACAATTGATTTTAAAATCCAACCATTGTTTCCATGACTTGAATATATTTTTTGTAAGACTGCTTATAATAACAATAACACTTTGAATCAAGCCTATTAATCCACCTTTGTGTGTTATACAAAGTAAAGGTGTTTTTAAGTTAGATTGTGTCCTCAGACTGAGCTTCTGATCGAGGCTGCTTTAATTCTCAGCGCTGACACTTGAGAAAGGTCTATTTCTGTCCTGACGCATCACAAAGATCTGCACCTTCGGGACGCCTGCCAGCTTTCTCTCTATTTCAAATTCTGGTCATTTAGCAGACGTGCACTTCTAGACCAACCCACAATGTTCAAACATCAGAAAACTTACAGTAAGGAGGTCAAGGGTCCTTAATCTTAACCCCCCCCCCGAAACGCTTCCATTGGACTCATTTGTTTACTGTAACATAATGTAACACTTGCGCTTCTATAGGCTCCAACACATTGTACGTGATAGGCTAAGGGGCGGGACATCTCTAAGCGGTTGACCAATCACAACAGAGCCGGCCAGCTAACCAATCAGAGCAGACTGGGCTCTGGTTTCAGACAGAGGGTGATAAGAGGTGCTGCAGCACAGGCAGTATGAGAAAAATAAAGAGCTTTTTGAACATTAAAGCATGGAGACATGTAGAGACACTACATACTGATATACACCTGAACATCAGCAGGAGAGGACTCTTTAAAGTAGAGACACTACATACTGATATACACCTGAACATCAGCAGGAGAGGACTCTTTAAAGTAGAGACACTACATACTGATATACACCTGAACATCAGCAGGAGAGGACTCTTTAAAGTAGAGACACTACATACTGATATACACCTGAACATGAACTTAATAAGTCCTCTTTGAACTCTTTGATTGGTTGGAGACTGCGAGGGGAAATAATCGATGATGTTTGAATTAAATGTGGAGTGTCTTTCTATTCCTATAAACATTTATACTAGATTATACATTTTTCTGTTTTGCTTTGTACTTTCTCTTACTGTTCCATCTTAATCTCTCCCAGTATTTACTCCAAATCTTGCTTTTTGACCGTTAGATGTTGGTAAAGATGTGCTATGGGGACACTGCATGACAGCTTGTAAGGTACACTCAATCTGAGTTATGTGTTTGTTGATTGTTGTTTTTGTTGTTGCTGTGTTTCAGGCGCTGCTGCCCTGAAGAAAGGCAGAAAGACGGACGACGACTTCTTTCAGTTTTCTCATCAACAGGGGACGGGCCAAGACAGCAGAAAGATGCCCAAACCTGTGAGTACCTGTCAGCTGGAGATTAGTATTTGATTTACAGCGACCCCTCTGTGTAGATCATGTAGAGTAGAGAGTTACTAACATCCTGCTTTACCATCCACTCAATCTGCGACACAACTCACCGTCAGGTTGCAGAGGTTCTGCGGGTTGTTGCCAGACTTTTACAGTTATTACATTGTCAGTTATTCCCAATTCCCTGTTTTAGGGTATTGGTGGGTTTGCATTGCCTCAAGTCTCTTCAACATCTCGTTTGAGTTTAATGAGCATTTTGATTCACAATGACAAAAGAAATAACATCTTAAAGCTGTGTCCATGACCTCTTGTCGTTAATAGTTGTATTTTGGTTAAGAAAATAAGACTGGCACAGCTGGTGTGTTTGTATATGTTTTTGTTTTGATTACAATGTTTAAGCTTGAGCTATGTGAGCTTTGAATCTCCATTTAAGAAAAAAGTCAGTTTGCTTTCCGCTGTAAAACACGAGTATTCATAGTTTTATCAGAAATGATTACCCGGCTGAGTTGAATACTCTATTCTGATTGGTCAATAGAGACATTCCAGAGGTCTGCTCTTTATCGCTAGCAGACTGTTGCTAAGGAGAGCAGATTGTTGCTAAAGAGATTGCTCTGATCAAGGGTCTTCTGGCAGTGTGACCGGTAAATGGAAAATAAATAAATACAATCATTTTAAATCCACCTACTGCTAAGCACCGCCTCCCTGCACATTATCCTTGACTTAAAAGGCGATTTAGTGGAAAACAAATCAAATCAGCATCCAGTCTGCAGAAAGCTTCATGTTTGAGCAGCTTTAATCAAGCAACCACTAGATTGTCACAGTTGCTAATTTGGCTCTTTACAACATTCAAGAATGAGTTCCTGCTTTAAAGTTTGAGTCTGACAACATGAGCTGTTGTTCTTACCATCACACTGTACTCATAGTTAACCCTTAGATGCATAAGTGGGTCTTTGTTGACCCGGTGAGGTGGTTTTCTTGAAGTATCTTTGTAATTACATTTTTTTGTCATTTCATATTCCAGCTATTCCTCAAACTTGTTTTGAATATCATGCCATTCAAATTTGAAATTTAAATTTTAAGAAATGGTAGTTTTTTTATTACTACCCCAAGCTTCCATAAGTGGGTCAAAAATGACCCGCATGCATTTTCTATGGAATCCTATGGGAAAAGTTGTTTTTCAAAATGCAAAAAAAAATGTCTAAAATTATAAATAGTGAAAAAGCTTCCATCATTTTCTATGGGAAAACGTTTTTTTTCAAAATGTAATTTCTTTTCTAAAATTATAAATAGTGAAACATTTAATATAAAATATTTGTAGTGTGAACCAAAATATAATACTAAATATTATACAAGTGATTTTTCTTAACCAAAATGACAAAAATGGCATAAAAACACATATTATTCTAATACGAGTCCTTTTTGACCCACTTATGAAAGAGTGTAGAGTCACTCAGGCATCTAAGGGTTAAGACAGGTTCAACATGTGTGTTCAGTTAAACAATACTCTCTGTCTGGCTCTACTGAGTACGATCAGGAGGATGGGTTTCACACACTGATAAGCAATTGGTAAGAAGCCAATATAAGAAGGCCATTGTTCTTAAATCCTAGTGCACTATGAAGCTGTTGTTCATTCATACCTGCTCTATCTGTGGGTTTTTAAAGTGTTGGGAAAAGCTGGACACTCACAGTCACACAGAAGCACAACTGCGGTCACTTTGTGGAAGTGTCCTGTTTGTTGTACAGAACAAACACAAAGAGGGCTTTCTCTGCTGCTCTATTTTTGGTCTGAAGGACAGTGGGAGCTTTCATGTTGGTCTGACACACAAACACACACAGGCTCAATGTGCACTGCAGCTTTAAATCACAGTGTCAGTGGATGTTATATCATCTATTGTAATAGCTGTATTATGTACGTTTAATGTTTGTTTTCATGACATGAAGACGGACATTGTCAGTTTAGCATCGCCTTAACAAAATCAGTGATTAGAAAAAATGAAATTCGTATTGAAAGTGCTTTCTTTCACTTTGGACACGTTTGAAATAGTAGCATACAGAATATAACTATTACAATGCAACAACAACCCGTTTTAAATAACCGTAATCCTTTTTTTCCTTCAACCTAAATTATGATTATGTTTATAATCCATTTTGTTGTATAAGCAACTCAAAGCCTGACTGTAAACCTATCCTACATTCTTATACTCACATTAACTAACAATAGATTGATGGGATTGATGTATTTGGGGTGTGTTCACAGTCCTGCCTGTACATCCTGGCTGTTTCACAGTTATCTACAGCCTGACAGATTGTAGTGATCCCTCTGTCCATCAATCTCAGTAATGGGGAATTAGGCCAGGACCAATTCCTGGAAGGAGACTAGGGACAAAAAAAGGAGGCAAAAGGATAGGATGTGAAAAGGGCGAGAGAGAAGGTGATAGAAATGGAAAGAGTAGATGAGAGTTTGCATGAACCAGCTTGAAGGTTGTGTTCAGTGCAATTTGAGCTTGTTGCAGTTCAATGTCATAAAATGTTCGTAACAATAGAGGAATATTTAATCAACAGAAATGAATGAGTGTCTTTTCACAACCTCTAAATCAGGGGTGTCCAAACTACGGCCCAGGGGCCAAATGCGGCCCTCAGCTAATTCAAAACGTATAATGAAATATGGCCCACAAATGAAACTTGTGTTTGTAATAATAGTACTTGTTAAATATATATGTAACACAAACATATACTGTATAACACAGTATTCATGTGTTAATAAGCCCACTTTTCAAATAAATTCAATCAATTGAAGTTGAAAACATTTTCAAACAAATCTTAGTTGATAAAAAAAAGCCCAATAACTTATTTACTTAACAAGCTTGAAATCTACCCTTCATATTTTTATAAGCAATCTGAAGCTTCTATTTTAAAGAACGAGCTGCCAACAAAATAAATGAAACCCTGTGGTAAGCTGTGATGTATATAGGCTGTTGTGTTTCTTAAAGCATTTAAATATCAAGCACAATGTATTTGATTGATTTTGCTAACTTATAACTGAACTTATGAGGCAGTAAACCTCACCTCTAGTGAGCGGCTAAGCCCTTCATATATTGTTCTGTACGTGGCCCTCAGTGAAAACAGTTTGGACACCCCTGCTCTGAATGATACCTGTCTGGAAAAGGATTCAGTTTACTGAGAAACATCAATCCAAAGCAGTCACTGAATTTAATCCGTGAGTTTGAGAAACGACGAGTCGGGAGAGGAGCTGTGAGGACGGAGAGAAAGAGAAAGTTGGAACCAACGAGTTAGTCTCAGATTATCCTCACACACCGACCGCAGGGAAGAAAAAGGCAAACAAAGGGATAAAAGAGGATTTGGGACAGGACTGAGTGACAGGCACTTTGTTCATATCCAGTCCAGAAAAACGACACCCAAGCCGCCCTCGAGGGGAACTCCCACTCCGGTTACATTAGGCTTGGCTTTGACATTAAGCCCGGCAGTTGGACAGTAAACACATCAACCCTTTCACTGCTTCATCTGTGCGTTCTCTGCTTGTTTTCTGCTAGAAGACACTTAAATGTCACACTGGATTAAGAGCTAAAGCTCAGAGGTCCCTGCAGGCTAATAATAATTGAACAAGTAAGCTAGCACGGGTCGATTAGCTCATAGCTAATGGAGAAGTACAAAAGAGCAATATAAAGAGATGGAGAAGTGTACAGGTGAGGGAAGTGAACCCCCCACAAGGCCTTTAAAGAGTCTCTGCTCTGCGTGCCACTTAGAAACCGTCTGTTGTCTCCCAAAAGGCAAGACTAGCTAAAGGCTAGTCGGCCTCAGGCATGCTATTACAAGTGATTTTGGCCTGGGCCGTAACCCTCCTTTAGGCTGTGTTTTAAAGGGTGTTGCCGTGTTTGCATGCACCCCTAACACAACATGGGTGTCTGCTGGTACTCAGGTATTTAATGTTGTTCAAGAGGGGGTGTATATGAAATTGGGCTCTGTGTAAGCATGCGCTAACCAGAACTGGACAAACAGGAAGTGACTACATCAAATTAGAAGAGGAAATGCCATGAAATACAATTCTTTTTAAAAAGATACTATAACCAACTTTAATAAAACATGATAAGCTGTACAGAGTAAATGGGCTTTGTTGCATGATCTGACAGTATTTCATCAGTATAGATTTCTTTAAAGGGAAATAATTGCATTTTTACGTCATGTTTTTAAGTATTTTTACTCAAGGCTTAGTTGAATACCAGAGGTTGTTAATTTGTGCTAACAGACCGTTGCTAAGGAGAACAGACCGTTGCTAAGGAGATTCAAGGGAATATGTGCAGTCATATCAATCTGCAGAAAGAAGTCTGGTCAATTCAACGTCAGCTTTGGACTAAAAACATTAGTTTTCCTCCATCAGAAAACACCAAGGACTACTTTTTGAATAATAATAGTTATAAGTACGAAACTTTGATTCATAATGGCTGAACTGTCCTGACTGTTTATTTGATCCTGCTGTTTTTCTGGATATTTACTCAGAAGCAGTTGGAAGAGACTGTTCAGTAAGCTATTGTTTTTTAACCCCTCCTGAATCGTTTTTATTTACTGCTCTGTTATAATATTAAAATTGTACTTTTTGATATAATTTCCTATTTGATTTGACTGTTTTTGTATTATTGAGAGATGATGTTTGAGATAATACATTTATCACAATAATCTTAAAAGACAGTGAAAGACATGTATTGGACATCTCTTTATGTTTCTACAGCCTTTTCATGCATTCAGTTCAGACAAGTGTTACAACATCTGACCTCATAAGATTGCCAATAAAGTGACCAGGGTGATTGTTCAGACATGCGATAGACACTTTAAATTAGACTGTCTGAAAGCGGCTCTAGTTTAAAGCAGACTGACCCCTTTTTTATAATAGCAAACAATGTTTTTGAGATAGCACAAAGGGAAAGGAAGAAAAGAGCAAACATGGAGACGAGACAGAAACAAATCTCATCCAAAAAGCCCTGGGGGGTTAAATGTCACTGGAGAATCCTTTAAAGATGTATTGATTTCCCACATGTTTTGGTCAGTGCATGCCTGGAGGCATTGTGTATGTGCATTTAGAGGGGGGCGGGGGGGTATAGATCTGTGTTTCTTCATGTGAGTGTGCATGTGTTTTGGGGGGTATAGATATGTGTGTGCATGTGTAAGAATAAAACATATGGTTATCTATTTGCAGAGGTGGGAAGCAGTGGAGTACAAATACTTCGTTACTGTATTTAAGTACATGTTTCTGGTATCAGTACTTTACTCCACTACTTATTTTTTCTGACGACTTTTTACTTTTACTTCTTACATGTTGAACACAAATACCTGTACTTTCTACTTCTTACATGTTGAACTCAAATACCTGTACTTTCTACTTCTTACATGTTGAACACAAATACCTGTACTTTCTACTTCTAACATGTTGAACTCAAATACCTGTACTTTCTACTTCTTACATGTTGAACTCAAATACCTGTACTTTCTACTTCTTACATGTTGAACTCAAATACCTGTACTTTCTACTTCTCACATTTTGAACTCAAATACCTGTA